TACATAGATAGACATTTTTAGCAGCAATACTCAGGTAGTGGTGCTTCAGCAATGCTAGATTGGCATTAAGGGGCCCAAAGTATGTCAAAAAATGATACCACTAATAAAAGCCAGGACTGATGCCTGGTTTAATGTTGTTTACATCAGATTTTTACCCTACCATGTGAATGTCACAGCAGAAATCAAGAGTCATCAGACCAGGCATTTTGGTGAACCATTGTTTAAAGCAGTCTGATCATTTTTTTTCTCAGAGAACTGTCACTCACCGGATTTTTTTTAACGATCATTCTCTATAAACTCTAGAAATGGTTATGAGGGAGTTTCTGAAATGCTCAAACCAACCTATCGGGTACATCCAGGCTGCGTTCAAAGTCACTTAAATCACCTTTCTTACGCATTATGATGCTCATGTTTGAAGTTGAACAACATAAGACAAGTCAGTATGTCCAATATGGCCTATCTGGGTCTGGACACACAACTAATCTCAAGAGGTTCAGTTCATGGTTAAATAAGTGTTAATAAATAAAATATGGATGTTTTCCCCCCTTCTCTTCATCTTAGTTTGTTTACATCTTCTTGAATTTAGATGGCAATCATTACAAGCCTTCGTGTTAAGTTTTGAAGGTTAGGAGGGCTTTCATCTTTCAGCTTAAGTCTCCTCCTGCAGTGTAAACTTAATATTGTTGACCCACAGCCTACGCGCGGAGCCTGATGCCATGGTCAGAGTAAAAGATTCAAAGCCACGGCTTATATATGCTGATCCCCAATAACACCTCTAGTGGCCTAAAGGGTGTCTGGTTACCCGGGGCCAGAGATTTGCCTTAAGATGTGTAATAACGCAAATGGTTTCTGAATGCATAAAATTGCTCTCAGCTGTAGTGAGATGCCCTACACACTGATGACCTGGCAGATTTAGCTTTTCAGCTGCACAAAGTGTGCATTGATCCTGACATGCATTCCCCTTACCATTCCTTATGGGTGTGCGCCTTTAACACAGCCTCTGGTATGAGATTTCAGGTCATGTGTAGGTGGTTTCCAGCCTGTTGACAGCTGATGATGACCTGCCAGAGCTGAGGAAATACGAGACATGTTGGCCAAGTTGAATGTATTACTACTGTTAAACACCTATCAGGTTAGAAAGTGAAGGCCATATTATAGGGCTTGAAATATTTTACATAGATTGGAAACCGTCTTATGACAACATCTGTCTTATTAGTAAACAGCAAGAGAATGAGATCCTCAGTACCTATACTGGTTGGACACACCGGTGTTGTAGTAAATATCAGTATGACTATCAGTGACATGGGTGCTGTAAATAATTCATTCAGGCACTTGTTGTGGTGTTGAACACAGATGCAGAGGTGTCCCTTAAACAAGGCTTCCTCAGTAAACCTATGACATCATCCAGCATAATGTTAAACCAGCAACCTGATCATGACTCACTGCTCATCTTCAATTTTCTTCCACATCACTGCTTTGCTGCCTAGATTTGTTCATTGGCTAGCGTGGTTGTGCAAGCTATACCTCAGAGATATAATGGTATTTATGGCCCTGTACAGTCACAAAAGACCAACATAATGGCTCCCCTGTTCTTTGCTGTTCTTTTTATTTGTAGCTTTCCGCCTCACAACCTGTTACATGCTCGACTATTACCCGAATACCACCTGCTGTTTGTCTTGTTCCCGTTGTGTGTGTGTGTGTGTGCGAATGCATGTGTTGGAGGTTTTCTTTTAACATTTCATTTTCTTTTCATTTATTTTTAATAAGAGTCAGTTTGGTAACAGAGGGTTTTGTCTTTAGAAGATATAAAAACTGCTATATTGGAGGTATTAAGGTAGATTATGAAGTACACTCGATTTTGCTTATTTTTTTAGCATTCATTACATATTTGTGAGTAGTGTGTAAAGTTCAATTTTATTTATGCAGCGCCATATCACAACAACAGTCGCCTGAAGCTGCTTTATGACCATTAATTCAGATACAAGGTCCCATTGTCCAGTGACAGCCTCTTGTGTCATTAAGTAAACAGATAGTAACAGCAGTAACAGATGATTGCACATCTTCCAGTTTGTCCTGTTCCTGGAAAGCTGAGAACAACTTTGGCACCAGAGCCTCCCGAGGGTTTCATCTTGCACAATTGGGCGTTGTGTCTGCCTTTTTAATAGAACTACCTGCTGTACACCTTCTCATTTAGACACATTGTACTGAGCACCTGGGTTGAACCTGACACGACCAGACGAAACACGCCACGGATCCCTTTGATCCACTCGGGCCCGTTCCACTGACTGCGTAACCCTCTGTCTCTCTTTTCTCGCTTACACTCTCTCTCTGTGTTGATACAAAGAGTTGTCTCTCTTATCACACTTTGTGGAGTGTGCTGAAGTCATCTCCTTCACTGTCACAGCTGACACAACTGTGCTATTCTCTGCCACCCAACCACACACACATATGCACGCACACACGCACACATGAATAGAATAACGATTGTTCCTGTTTCCTGGCTATGCTGACATTATACAGCTGTTGAATGAGATATGGTCCATTTTCCATCGGTCAAATGCATCACACACAAACACACATGTAGATACATCCACTTGTACCCAGTATAATCCTTGCTATCTTTTTTTTTTCCCGTTGTCTTCCTTCTCTGTCTCTGTCTGATGCAAGCATGCACGCACATATTTGTCCACGCACGCAAACACAAACACCAAGCGAACTCTCTGGCCTAATTCCACTCTTATTGATGTGTGTCTGTCAGTGAAAGAGGCACAGCACAAAGAGCAGCAATGGGCCTGTATGTGTGAGCTCAGAGCGAACAAAGAGCGGTCTATTCCACGCCAGCTCTCAGACTCTTCTGGAAACACTGCATTTGCTTGTTTAAGCTATAGCCATATTTTGAGTCCACCAACTGTATGTTCAGCAATGAACAACAACATGGCTGCTTCAGTGTCAGTGAATGCAAGCCAGATTGACCTCTGCTTTGGGTTCTTCATGCACAATGTCCTGTTTAGGAACAAAATTGAATGGCAAAGTCCTCATTAAATGTCGATATTTCAATTATGGAGCTGTTGAAAAAAAACATTTTTCTCACATTTTGCATATTTGCAGATTGTCTGTTTTATCATTTAACTTTCTGTAGCTCTCAATGTTATCGCTCTTGAGCTCCAGCCCTTTTTAAATAATATTTTTGTGAAATAATAACAATAATGGGTATCATTTTTCACAAACTGGTGGTGAATCTGTGTTATAAAGTCATTTTGTCTGAATGATTCTGCAGCTGTTTTCTATCCAGAGCTTAAATGAACATTTACAGCACAGTATGCAATATATTGCCAAGCAGAGCAACTGAACAGAGAGAAAGAGAAACTTCAATAGAAGATTATAGTTTTTTATGTGTTTATCACAATATCTTTCATTTCTTAAACTGAGTCAGGTTGAGCCGAGCTTTTTCCTCCATTTCTCCAGTTAAGCTGGCAAATGAGAAGAGGACAAATGGCAGCTCAGTGGACTGGTGTGAGACACAGTGCTGTGAACAAGAATGTGTGTGTGTATTTATGTGAGGGACTGAGTGAGGGTGACAGAGTTCCAGAGAGGCCATTGTTCATGTGGTGATTTGTGATTTACCTTTGGCAGCGTCGCAGAATCTCTGAGCAACATGCTGACTCACACAGGCTGCTGCCCCTGGTTGTCACTGACGCTGTTAATCACTGATAATCATTATTATGTGGTGAGTAATCAAAATACATATTTTCACAAACAATTTTTTGCAGTATCCTGGTCAGTATACAGTCATGAAATGAAGGAGCTTATGTCAGAAGAACACAGCTGCTTTTAAAGATCCATCTGGTGTTCGTATGTTCTCTCTTCTTAAAGGTAGATTGGCAAGGCTTGCTAAAACTGAACAAAGATGCAAGCATACGCATCAAGTCTGACAATAAAGCGTTGTCCTCTAAAGACTCCTCAAAGAGGATTTGGTGTGATTATGAAACCGCAGGCAATCAAGAAAACACCCAATCCTGCAGTTGGGATCAGCCTGGGGATGAAGAAGGGGATTTATTAATATGGATGGATGGATGGATGGATGGGTACCGGGGTTGAAACAAGACTTCAGCTTCAGCTTCAGGATGGGATTAACTTTTATGCCTTTACTCGCAAGTTCTGAAAGAAATGTAATGCTTCATCATCAGTGATTCACACTTCCTTGTCGCTCACTGTGCCAGCGGACGATGCATGCGCGAATCTGTCTTCAAATATGCATGTATTATTGAGTACGGTGTACAGCTTATGCATAACTTGTCACCTTCTGTGAGAAACAGCTCAGGTGGTAAGCTTGGTTGCATAGAAAACAACATATTTCGAGCACGTCATCATGCGTCTTTATTCAGTCTCATATTTAGTCTCATCATGGGAAGACTGTATCCACATGAGATCAGCTGAAGAAAGTTGTTTGTTAAGAACTGAATTCTATGATCAAATATTTATATTTTTTAATTTAATAAGAGGTGTAAAGTTAATTATTCCCGGCAGGATTGGATATTGCAATCTTTTGATATTATTATGTACTATGGAATGCGTGCCAGCGTAAAAATTGTAAGTACTAAATTTAAAGACCATAGTTAGCACAACAATATTATGAGTACAGCCAGCAGCCAGCACTCAGGTGACTAAAATAAACCTGCTTAACACCACACTCACACTCACACTCTCTCACTCTCACTTTCTCTCTCTCTCTCTCTCTGGCAGGCAACAGTTGCACTTAACTGATTGGCACCATCCTATATCAACTCATAGCCTCCAAATTAATGATATTAGAACCCTCTGGCCTGAATCTGTCAGTCGAGCTAAGAGATAAGATTTAGGCAGAGAAAGTAAAAGCATCTGTGTGCATGCGTTTTACCTTGCTGAATTGAATGGAATGTTTTTATGTGCATGAATGCATCTTATTTTGGCAGTGACAGTGTAGCTGTTGCAAGAACTGATATGACACTTGCATGTAGCGTCATCCTCCACCCCCTTCTGTCTGTTGTGAGATGTGTGTGAGTGAATGTGTGTGCCTGTCTGATAAACCTTGCGTTATTCTTTATGGGCGGGCAGTGCAGCTAAAGGAATGATATAGTTTGGGTATATAGCTGTGCCTCCCCAGGGTTTTGAATGTTCTAGACTTGCTTGCTTGTTTTGCTGTCCTTAATGGGAGCAGCTTTTCATGCTGCAGGGAGACTCAGGCTGCCTCCCCATCTATGAGGTGATCACTGATCAACCAATAAGGTTGCTCAGGTAGACTCCTTCTATTTTAGCAGGTGTCTTCTCTGTTAGTTTTGCCAATGGCTTGTATTGTGTCAGACGGCGCAGGATATCATGCACTCTGTGACACTACTCTATATGTTGTTTCTGCTGAGGAAATCCTTATCCCTCGATACTTCCTCAGGGCAAGAAGAGAATGCCTTTGGGGATTTGAAATTACTTCCTTGAGAAGCACACAAACACATGCAAACATACAGTGTTTGCATGTGTTTGTGTCTTCTGTTCAGTGGAACGTACATATTCACGGTAGTGGATTGGAATCAGGAAGCGGTGCTGATATTTCTTATAAGGTCAACAACTGATGATTGAAGTTCTGAATCTTAGAAATGATTCAATCTTTGGTCTTTTTCCATCTGTCCATCTTCCTCTTAGGTAACCCAGACGAGTGAGTCACATTAGAATGACAGTTTGGCTGATGGTAGGTGGGTTTTTCTTCTTCTGGTGTTAGTCATCATCTTTTTTCCCCTTCTCTCACTCGTCTTTTCATCTACTCCTTTTTTTTTACTATTCTGATTGCATCCCATCCAGGCTATTTATAATCTTAACATGCACATTTATTTATTCTCTATTTTTCATCTTTTTGCCTCTTTTGTGTTATTGTACTTGTGCTAGTTTACCAAGATCCAGCTTAAATTACTTTATTCCTACCCAATAATTGATAATGTCATATCGACATTGAAATAATATCAATTATTATCAAACACTGGAACAAAAATGTTAAGATGCAAATGTTGTGTATGTGAAAGTTAGGGTTTGCACCTGGATCTAGGTAACTTTTCATCCAATCATAATCCATCTCCTTTCTCTCTGTTAGACCAGAATGACCACTTGTTCCTGAGTCAAAGATGCATGCTCCCTTTTGGATCCCTCTGACCGCCAATGAGCTGATCCAACCCTCCCATCACAGTCCAATCACCACTTCCATTGTCCTCTGCTGATCTCTGCTGTTTTCTAGTCTTCTCCCCCTCAGTCAGTGATCTAGTCTGACCATCTGCATGCCTAACAGAGAGGAAGGGAGGCATTCGCAGGTTGTTTGATTGGACAGATTCTCCCTGCTATTCATGAAGAGTCAGCAGGACGATATGCAGCAGGGAGACAAAAGTCAAATGGAGCCAGAGGGGGTGGGACCCAGTTCAGGTTCTGTGACAAGGGGGTCACAAGGCTCAGGTTTGAAGAGGGCCTTTTCCGAGTCAGATCACCCTTCCTTGATTAAGATGAGCCAAAACGCCAGGGCAAGCATGGGGGTTCTTGGCCAGGGTTTGAAGCAGCTGTTCCAACAGCAGCGTAAACGTCTCTCCCTCTCTCGCTCCACCATCACTTCCTCATCATCCTCCTCATCTTCCTCTGTGGTGTCAGCATGTGGCACTTCCCCTTGTGCCCCCGATGATGCCTCAGGGTCTTGTTGTCCTGATTCTGACATCTTCTCTGCTCCTATGGTTCCTTCTGCAGCTGGCCAGGGCTCAGCCGCTGCAGGCATGATGAGGCGTGGGACCAGCCTGCAGAGCCGGCGAAGTAAGGGTTCTGGGTCGGGATCTGGGAGTGGAGATCGTGATCCTCTTCTGAAAGGTAGCCCTCAAGCCCCGCAACGCCGCTACACCCATGATCCACAGCAGCATATTAGCCGCCCACGCTCCTCCTCCACCACCGATACCACACCCAGCAGCCCTGCCCCAGGATATTCCAGCGGCGATGCATTGTTGTCATCAGGTTACCAGTCCACAGAAGAGACAGACAGGGTAGGTGACAGGAGCCATTAATCATAATCACTACACAAGTTTATCGATGTGCCTCTTTTTTTCTATTCAGTGGTGTCAGACCTCATTTGTCAGTGAACTGTCAAACAAAAGCTGAGGTTCATTTTGCTGCTAATGTAAATTTTCCTGCTGTTCAACAGTGAACGCTCTGAGATGGGCCTGCTCTGATTCATTACTGCTGTTGGATTTTCCCAATGCTGACTATTGTTCTAGTAAAATTAAGCTATTATTCAAGGCCATATATCTAGCTTGCTAGCAAAACACATGCACACACGTGTAGAGTGTATATATAACGGTGTACTCCAAGGTCTGGCTAACTTTACTATCAAGAGAGACATTTTTAAGCAACTTTTGACATATTATAATAAAGGTGGCAGCCTATTAAATATAAATGAGCCCATCAACCTCAGTAATAGGAATAAATAATTGAAATCTTTTACCACATGGGATCACTCTGCAGTGGGCTGTTACATGAATGCATTTTTAATTTAATAATATAATAACATATGTTGTGTTGCATGTGTAAAAATACAGAACTAAAGCATCAAAAAACGTTTACTTATTATGTACTTTTATTTATTTACTTATTTATTACCAACAAAACTGAACAATATCATGTATTTTTTAGCAAAGAGTCAACCTTTAAAGAAGAGTGACTATAAAGATATTATGGCCACTGTGAATCCTACCACTCGTATTTTAATATCCATCGTTTATTCGATGTACTATATTCTCCTCTCACTGAGACCTTCTGAGTATGTCCTCTCCCTGGATGTGGAGCATTTGACCATGTAGAGTGGGAGTATCTATACACAAGCTTAGATTAAAATTTAATTTTGGGCCAAAATTTGATAAAATTGCTATATCTCCCCATATGGAAAATATATATATAAATCTTATAAAGTTTGTATCTGTCTTCTGTGAAACTTGTATGAAAAGCATACAAGAGTGAAAACATGTATGTTTTGGATACTTACTAAAACAATATATAAAAGTAATGAGAAAGTGGCCACTTTCATGAGTAAATCATATAAGTTTTTACTATTTCTTTTCCATATGGGTCTGCCCTTCAGTCCATCTTTGATAAGAAAAAAAAGCCACGTCCAGTTTTAATTTTGACTAAATTCCAGCCACAGAGCAAGCACTCCAGTAAGCCAACACAGAGGCAGTGAAAGCGAATAAATCTGTCCACGTATTGTTTGGAGTTCATATGTAAGCTGACTTGAGGTTACTGAAGTTATTTAATTGTATATAAATCTATGACAGCCATGACAATTGAGGGTCATCAAAGCTAAAAGAATAAGACAATCAGGCCACAGACATATTAAGTGTGTCTTTAAAATTGGTTTGGCTGCACATTTTTGCAGTCACTTAAATGATGAATAAAAGTTCAAATGTTGAAAAAAAAAATCCAATTAATTTCCATGTTCATATTTATCAGTTTAAAAAAAAATCCAAACCAAAGTGAGCCAGAAGAGATGGGCAAAAGAGCTGCATGAGCTCCAGAAAAGCAGGTTCTCCACCGCTGGTGTAGTCAGTGTTGAAATATAGGCTCAGGATTAACAATAGACACATGCCCATATGAACACAACTAGAGTGTAGCTTGTTTTAATTTAATTTAATTTAATTGTAAAAAATAATTTTCTATCATGCATCCACTTGAAGTAATAAAGGTCATAATCCAGTCTTTGTTCTTTGTATACATACTTTCCCAAAGTTTATCTGAAAGTAATTTTATGTGATGCAGATTAAGTATCCCCTAAAATGGGACTATTTTATGACCTGTTTGCCTCTTTGTTTTACAGCAATATAATAACTTCAGATAAACCTATAGGAATAAAGACTACTAGACTTTGTTATTCCTTTTCACTGAATGTACATGACAAAAGGTCAAGACAGCTTTCTACTTTCTGTCTTAAATAACTTCATTAGGTTGCCACCTGGATTGCTAAGCAATAACCAAAAGTTAAATCACTTTCCAACCTTATTACTGTGCTGTCTTTAAGTTCATTCACAAAAGTACTGTAAGGTGTGGCTTTTTTCAGGATTGCATGAGGAAAGGAAGACTAATAATTGCTGCAATTCAGTAGTTACCAGCTTCAAAATTCACCTATTAAGTAAAACTTGTGTAACAGATTTGCAATATTTTTGATTGCTCTGTAACTGGATCATTAAGGGTAGACTGGTGTGACATTTCTGCAGTGTCTGTTTCTTAAACTTAAATCTTTTTCACTTTTCTATTCCACAAAAAAGGCGATGTTCAATGACCACGAAATCTCATCCCCTAACTTGTATGTTAATTACATTGACATTGCTCATTGCTTTGTTTTGTTGCTTTTTTGTGGTGCAAAAAGAAACAAAAAACTGCAGACCCCACAATGTGTAAGCCATTGATATTCATTTTTCTTTTCCTTTATTGGCTTGTTTTCAGCCATTTAGCTGCTGTTTCTTAATGGAAGTGCTTTTATCTTCCTAATTTGCTTGTAAAAGTTGACCTTGAGTTCTGATTTTAACCACCTTTGGTGTTCCTGACTCCAGTTGTTTCTCATTACCACTAGAGGGCGCTGTTAGATCAGCCTTCCTGCTCTGAGCAGCACTGGGCTTGGTTCATGTGTTGGGAGTGTTTGCTTTATGAGCTCATGTTTGTTGTAGACCAGACTGATCCTGTTGGTTAATGAAGTAAGCCATGCCAAGAAAAAGCATCAATGTGTCATAGACAGAAGGACATCTGGCTATCTGGCTTTTAAGCCAGTGGTGGGGAGTAAGTCTAGACCAGTGGGCCTTGATATCCCCATTAAGCGGCAGGCTATAATGTGTGAGCTAAATTTAGTAAAGCCCTCTCCTCTTTCTTCATCTGTAAAACCAAGTATACTTCATTCCTGCATGAATGACCTCACCTTGAGTGACAGAGCAAGGCTGAGAGCCAGTCATCTGTGCTCCATTAGTCTTGCTGCTATGATGGACGACCATCAACCTTTCTGAGTTCTGCTGCTTGACCTTGGCAGAGGTTATAACCTGTCTGGCTCTTCTCTTAACCACCATCATAGTCATGTCGCCACACTACAACACAGCAATGCAATTAAGGTTATCGAGCGGTCGCCGTGGTTACCCTGAAACTTGCTTTCTTGGGACTACGCCCTGCTTAGGTTGTCATAGTAACAGCGTGGTTGACCTTGGAGGTGTGTGAGGTCTGCTGCTAGTGGAGGTTGAGTGTTGCATCAAGAATGATGGATGTTCGGTGAACGATCAATTTTTCTTCATTGATCGTCGCACTTCTTTTTTCTTTCTTGCTTTCTCCCTTTCTGAACTCCCCCCCCCCCATCGCCCCTCATTATTCCTCTGTCTTTCCCTCCCTGTCCCCCTCCTCTGTCCCTGGAGAGAGTTAATACAGATAGTCAGCTGGTCCCTCCTCCTTCTCCTTCTCCTCCTCCTCCTTTCCAATCTCCCCCTCCTTCCTCTCATCCTCTGCCACCACCTTCGCTCCACCCCACCCTTCAGCCTACTGACAGGAAGCAGGAGGCAACCTTGCCTTGTCCTAGATGAGTGAGAGCTGTGTGTGAATCACTCCTGTGTTCAGAAGAGGATGTGGAGGGTTGTGTGCATGTGTGAACGTAAGACCTCATTTCATCTGCGTTCCAGATTCTCTGAGTGTGTGTGTGTGTATTTATTGAAAATCCTTTGTGTATAGACAGCCATGTGGTGTGAGTATTTTATCTGAGTGACTGTATCTTGTGAGAGAAAGAGAGTTGCTCAGGGGATCACTGTGAATATGAGTAGAGGGCAACACGGCTGAGCTGTTATTATCTCCTTTTGCTCTCCCTCCCTTTTTTTCACCCCCCTCCCCACTTGTGTTTGCATAGTAGATGACTAAAGCGGTGTGGACTACAAATGTGTGTGCATATGGATCTTTGGAGAGGATGGTAGCATGTGTGCCTTTGGCGTGAGTGTGGAGTGTACTATGTGAGGCGGTGTGTACTTTGGTAGGATATCAGCAGAGAGGAGTAGAACAGGGGATCCAGCTGTGGGTCCGTCACTCAGGCAGTCAGGATGGTGCAGCGCTTCAGTCTTCGTAGACAGTACTCCAAGGTAAGCTTAAACACACTTGGCTTGTTTAGTCACTAAAACCATGTGTCTTCCTGTCTCCATGCTACAGATCCATTCACAGCTGAACTTGTGTCATGCATTACCATTTTCCCATCTCTCTTCCTTTCTTTATCTTCCTGCTATTTGATAATATGCCAGAAACTGGGGATTCTTTGAGTTTTGTTCAGAAGAGCAGTCAAAATGAACAAACTGACTCTGTTATCATGTGCAGAAGCAGTTCATGATTAAGTATAAAGCATTGTTTGCTCACTTCTTTGATACCAGCAGTCTTTATAGTAAACTGATTTTCTTTTGATCCTTCATTCCCTGTTAAGCAATTCAGCCCATCAGTGTGATCAGTGTTTGCACTTTGTCTTCGCTCTTGTTAAACAGTAACTCATTCTCCAGTGGTGAGATTGGTAGCATGAAGTCGACTGGCGCCGTTACAGAGGAACGTAATTATTGGTAAATGTTGTTTATTAGGGAGCATTTATGACTCACTTACAATAACACTCTGTTGGCTGTGCTCTAAAACTGACTATGGGTTTAATGTATCTCTCCCCTGATGCCAGTGCTGTTAAACTGAGTAGAAGGCTTGTGTTGGAAATCAGCAGCAGGTCCATTAAAAGCCTGCTGTTCTGCAGGTGGTGCTCAGCCTGTGAGCTATAATTACAATTAACTGCTGATTAATTGATTGACTGATTACACCCATACCATTTGTTCTTAACACCATGTTATAAGGCTGTCAGATGCTCATATGCTAAGAAATGTCAGCATGTACATGCGCAAATGCTTCGGGCAGACAGATGCACGGTGTCACTTTTAGAAAGACTAGAACCCAGAGTGATAGAGTATAATCTGGTCTACATCCTATTCAAAGAGAGACAAAGTGATAGTGT